TTTTTTTTTTTTTTAATTCCCTGAGGCATCTGATTGCTAACCAGAAGGCTAGAGGTTCAAACCCATCAGCCACTCCTCAGAAGAAAGATGGGACAATCTACTTCCGTAGTGATACCACCTCAGAAACCCAAGGAGGGTCCGCGATGAGTTGGATCTGACTCAATGGCAGTGAGTTTGTCTTTTTTGAGTGTTGTTGATTTTTTCTATTGTTTATTTTGTTTCATTGATTTCTGCTCAAATATTTATTATTTCCTTTCTTCTGGTGAATGCAGGCTTTTCTTGCTGTTCATTTTCTAATTGTTGGAGATGTTGGTTTAAAGTGTTGATTTGGGCTCTTTCTTCTTTTTTGATATGTGCATTTATAGCTATAAATTGGCCTCTGATGACTGTTTTTGCTGTGTCCCAAAGATGTTGGTATTTTGTGTTCTCATTCTTTTTTGACTCAAGGGATTTTTTAATTTCATTTTTTATTTCTTCTATTACTCATTCTTAAGGAGGATATTGTTCATTTTCCATGTGTTTGCTCTTTTTCCATTGATTTTCCTATTATTGATTTCTAATTTTACAGCATTATGATCTGAGAAGATGCTTTGAAGTATTTCAATGTTTCTGAATTTATTAAGGTTTGCTTTATGGCCTAACAAATGTTCTATCATGGAGAATGCTCCATGTACACTAGAAAAGAATGTATATTGTGCTGCTGTTGGGTGAAGTGCTCTGTAGATGTCTATAAGGTCAAGTTGGTGGATTGTATTATTTAGTTCTTCTGTGTCTTTGCTGAATTTCTTTCCAGTTGTTCTGTGTTTGGTTGAAAGTGGTCTATTAAAGTCTCCTACTATGACTATGGAGTCATCTATTTGTCTTTTCAATTCTGTTAAAGTCTGATTTAAGTATGTTGGACCTCTTTCATTGGGTCCATAGATATTTATTATGGTTATATCTTTTTGTTCAAATAATCCTTTAATCATTATATAATGTCCTTCCTTGTCTCTTATGGTGGTTTTTGTCTTAAAATCAATTTTATCAGAAATTAATATTGCCACTCCTGCTGTTTTCTGGGTGTCATTTGCTTGATATATCTTTTTCCAACCTTTGATTTTTAGTCTATTTTTTGTCTTTCTCTCTAAGGTATGTCTCTTGTAGACAGCATAGTGATGGGTTATGTTTTCTTATCCAGTCTGCAACTCTCTCTCTCAAGTGGTGCATTTAATCCATTGACATTCACTGTAATTACCAACAAGTATGAGTTTGTTGCTGTCATTTTATTATGTGTTTTTGTGTGGTGTTCCTGGTTTCTTTGTTCCATATAATCTTCTGTGCTGAGATCATTTTGTTTATGAATTGTGTTATCATTTCCTTCATTGCTGTTGTTTTAGTATTTGGTATATATCCGGGCTTGTCTTCTTTTTTATTGTGATGTGAATGTTTATCATTTTTCTTTGAGGTTACCCTGTGAATTATAATTTTCTCCTCAAGTTTAAAATAGTCCATTCTATCTTGCAACTCTCTGGACTTCCTCACCATTTAGAAGTTCCACAACTACACTGTTTTTTCTCTCTTTTTGTTTTGTAGTTGTCCTCATTTGCCAATTGATGTCTCTGGTTCCCTGTTTACAATCTAGTAAGCTTATTTTACTTCAGATACTTCCATAGCTGTTTTGGTTTCTGGGTTATGTCATCATGTGTATTAATGGTTCGTTGTTGTTTGCTATTATTGGTTCTCTGTCCAAAAGACTCCTTTTTGTATCTCTTGTAAGTTGGTCTGGTTTTAACAGAATCCTTTAATTTCTGCTTATCTGGAAATTCCCAAATCATCATCATATTTGAGAGACAAAGGGAAAATGGAGAAGAAATGAATTGCTGCCCCTTATTGGCTGTTGGAAAGTATCCCAACAGTTACTGGCTATCACATCCCAGACCCACAATCTATGTAACACAAATCCATGATTCCTCCCTCCCCAAGCCTTGGCCACAGAAGGTAATGTTTATGGGGCCAGATTGTGTCTCTGAAGGAAAACTCTCTTTTAGGCAATCAAAATGTAAAGAAAAATAAGCAGTGACTGAGGTTCTAATATAAAATAAGAAGAACTCTGGGAACAGACTCATTAAAACAGACAAACAAACAAAAAGTAGAATTGTGATTCACATTTATTGATAATAAAGAAACCACAAAATACAAGTGGGTTAATTCATATTATTTCAGTGAGTTTGCTGATTAAGGAGCCCTCTGGCACAGTGGTTAAGAGCTCATCTGATAACCAAAAGCTCATCGGTTTGAACCCCCCAGCCACCCTATGGGAGAAAGATATGACAATCTGCTTCCATGTAACAATTCTACTCTGTCCTACAGGGTCACTATGAGTCAGAATGAACTCAATGGCATACAACAGCAGCAACATTGTTGGTTACTCACACCAAAGTAGTTAATTTCACTTTGCTACAAATATATACATATATTTGCGCCCATAAAATTATGTTCATGCTCCCTCCCAGCCCCAACTCTCAACATTCCAGTCTCTTTTAAATTCCATTCTCTTCATTATCATACATATTTGGAATTCTAGGTGGTGTACCTGATAGTTACACACAATTTAGTTTTATGTTGCTTAGAAAAGTTGAAATCTAGTATTAAAAAAATCAAGAACAACACTTGTTACATAAAGGTAGGGAGAAAAAAGTCCATATCACTAAAAGGCCAATAGGACTCAACACCTATGTAAACCTATTGCCATCGAGTTTACTCCAACTCATGCCAACCCCATGTGTGTCAAAGCAGAATTGTGCTCCATAGAATTACCAGTGGCTATAATCTCATGGAAAATAGATTGCCAGGCCTTTCTTCTGAGGTGCCTGTGGGTGGGTTTGAATCAGCAACCTTTTGGTTAGTTGTTGAGCACAAACCATTTGCACTTCCTAGGAAAGCCTCACTAGCCATGTAAAGGCTAATTAATAGCAATTTATGAGTGTGTTGACATGTAAAAGCACAAGGGAAAACAATAAACTGTTGTTTTCCACTTCTTATAAAACATGCAATAATCAATAATAAAATGTCCACATTTTTTTTATTATTATTTTGCAGCTTTTGGCTGATTCATTAAACTTTCCTTACCCATCAATATTAAAGTCAGGGATTGGAGAAGTGTAATAACAAAATAGCTGTATTACCATTCAAAATAATTTTATACATTATTTTGTTTATTTAAAACTTCTTCATTACTTCAAATATATATATATATACTTTCATATTCCTAAATCATCTCACTTTCCTTGCATGAACTCAAAGCATACATAACACCAAAAAATTAAAAATAGAGAATCATTTCCAACTTAAGGATGGTCAACAGCTGGGTGCTAAGGATTCGATGAGACCTTGTTATTGCTGTTGCTATAATCTTGATCAAAGTCTCATGGATGCTGTAACCTGAATAAATGATAAGAGTCTTTGATTATTTGGTTATCTGTCTAACTTGTCCTTAAATAATTCAAACACCCATGAAACAGTCATTATTGAAATTAAAATGGAGAAGATACAAACTTTATCCTGTCCCCAACTGTTGTTGTTAGCTCTCCTCCAGTTTCCACCTGACTCATGGCAACACCATGTATAATGGGATCTGACCATTGTCACATGTAGGTTACATGCTTATTTTGCAGGAGTAGATCACCAGACCTTTATTCCTAGTCTATCTTAGTCTGGAAGCTCTGTTGAAAACTATTCAGTATCATAACACGCAAGCCTCCACTGACACACAGGTGGTAGTTATGCATGAGGTGCACCGGCCAGGAAGCCAACCAGGGTCTCCATGTGGAAAGTGAGAATCCTATCATTGGCCCACCACTGCCCCCACCTGAAATACCACAGTGGAAAAAAAACATCACTCAGTCGTAGCAAATGCCCAGAGTAAGGGATCTTTCCTACACGACTGGGAGTGCAAACTGGAATAGTCCTTTTGAAGGCAATTGGTCAAGATGCTCAACAATATGCATATAACCCACAGGTCAATAGTTCCACTTCTAGGAGTCTGACTTACGGAAAAATCTTAAATTTTAAAATGTTTTGCACACAAAGATATACACCACAATATCATTTAAAACAAAATTAGATATGATCTAAGTGTTAATACTATAAAAATATTTTTATGGGGAAAAAAAAAAAGCGGGGAACAGGTTTGCTGGCCCAATGGAGCCTGGTGGAACCACTAAGACTATGGCCCCTAGCTGCCCTTCAGGTCTGGAATTGAAGGCACACCTGTGGCTTCCAGCCAAACAATAGACAGACATATCAGTTGAGTATTTACCTGAGGTAGATACAGTCCTTGGAGAGAACAAGCAAGAGAGAAAGAAGGGCTATTCAGGCTTAGGGAGACAGCTCAGGGGCAGGAGTGCATGGAGGGATGGACACAGGGAAGAGGTAACTATCGGGAGGAAGTGGGAGGGGAGCTATTGTATTGTGCTAAATTGTGGTCAATGTCATGAGACAAAGTGTATGTGAACTGCTGTATGGAAAGTGTATTTGCTCTGTAAATTTTCACCCAAATCACAATAAAAAGAAAAAAAAAAAAACACCATAATTTCCCATCTGAAAAAAATATATATTTTTATGAAGTATCATATATTAATATTATAAATGGTACGAGGCCATCAAAAATGATGTTTAATATATTGGAAGGATATGAAAGTACTTAATTTATATATGTATACACACACATATATACACAACCTCTCCCTTTTTTTTTTGACTCTCTCGTTATCATATATATATATACATATATATACACCAACATATATATATATACACCAACATACACACACACACACACACACACACATATGTATGCATAGGAGCTCTGGTGGTGTAGGGCCTAAGGCATTTGACTGCTAAGCTGAAGGCTGGTGGTTCAAACCCACCAGCCACTCCTCAGAAGGAAGATTGGGTGATCTACTTCTATAGTGATAATGCCCTGGAAACCCAAGGAGGTACTGCTATGAGTCAGATGTGACTCAACGGCAATGAATTAGTAAGTTAACCAAAATTATTGGTGGTTCAAACTCATCAGCCACTCCACAGGAGAAAGATGGGGCAGCCTGCTTCTGTAAAGATTTATAGCCTTGGAAACCCTATGGACAGTACTACTCCAAGGTGGAATTGATTTAATGACAAGATATATGTATATATATATACATATGTGTGTGTGTATATAAATGTGTGTGTGTGTGTGTGTATATGTGTGTATATATATATATATATATGAGTTTAAAAAATATCCACAGGTTAACCTTCAAGAACCTATAATATCTGGCTTCAACATTCCTGCCCAGCCTCATCCTCTCAGGTCCTTCAAGGAACTTCATCATATTCACCCCTTGGAGCACTCGTAGAGCACTCTCCTAACTTTCCTTCCTCAGTAAGCACTTTCCAGTTCTGTCTTCAAGCTTTTCTCCATCACCTCACCTAGAAAGAATTTTCTCATCTCAACCCATGGAGCATCATGTCTGGGTCCCAAGTTATTGTTATTTATTTACAGGCACAAATACATGCCTTACCAAAATCAAACAAACCCATGCTGTCAAGTCGATTTTGACTCATGGTGTGTCAGAGCAGAACTGCTCAGTAGGATTTTCTTGGCTGGAGTCTTCACAGAAGCAGGCCTTTCTTTACCAGGCCTTCCTTCCACAGCATCATTTGGTGGGTTGAACTGCCAACTTTCCATTAATAATTGACACAAACCATTTGTACTATCCAAGAAGCAAGTTGTTTGGTCTCCTAGATCTACCTCTTATCAACACCATGGCCCTTGGTCAACCTACCTAACCCTTTGTTTCTTGACTATGAATGTTATCATATCTATCTCACAGAGATTCTAGAAGGATTACAGAAGATAACATGTCACCTTAGGCTCTTTAATGTTGAAAGTCCTCCCAGATGCACCTCTGAAGAAAGGCCTGGTGACCTACCTCAAAAAAACATCTGCCATTGAAAACCTGGTTGAGTCCTCGAAAACTCTGAGCCAACTTTTTTTAAAAGTTAAGCATTTTGTATATTTTAGTTGCGATGTTACACATTTTATATGCATTAACCTTCAAGATAACTTTTATCAGTTGGTTGCTATTATTATTCTCAGGAGCTCTAGTAGTGCATATGTTAAGGACTTGGCTGCTAATCAAAAGGTCAGCAACTAGAACATACCCAATGGGTCCACCGGACAAAGACCTAGTGATCTGCTCCCAGAAAGATTACAGACTAGAGAACCCTATCAGGCAGTTCTACTCTGTCACATAGAGTGGCTATGAGTCAGAATTGACTCAACAGCACACAACAACAGCAACAGTATTATTCTCATGTTATGGATAGGGATATGGAGACTTAGTGAGGTTAAATAAAAAATTCAGAAATGAAGATGTCAAGATTATGAACCTAAATCTATCTAGCACTAAAACCAAAAACCAAACTCACTGCTGTTGAGTCGGATCCAATTCACAGCGCTCCCTCCTTGGGTTTCTGAGGTGGTATCACTACAGAAGTAGACTGCCCAAGCTTCCTTCTGAGGAGTGGCAAGTGGGTTTGAACTGCCAGCCTTCTGGTTAGCAGTCAAATGCCTTAGGTGCTACACCACCAGAGCTCCCTACGTAGCACTAGAGCTACTCTAATCTCAATTACCATCGTACATTGTCCTTAAGGATGGTAGAGATAGTAGATGTCAAGGTTGGAAGGGCAGGTAACCAGAGGTGAGAAGATTAGGCCAGATGGATTGTCAAGAGTTTCAGAGACAAGGTGACTTCCAGAATTGGTTATGAATTTCATGTAAAGAATTACTTTAAAACTTCGGTTTGAGGTCTTCAGACAACTTCACCATTCCTCTCATTTGAGAGTTAGGCATTATGCCTCCAGGAGCCAGGGTTTAGTTTGGTCCAATGCAATCCATTTGAAAACATCTATCTCATTCAGGATTCAGTTACCTAGATGTACTGATATATATTTTTTAAAACTTTAAATTTCACTTAAAGATTTGAATTTGATAAAGCACATTTGATGTAATGTGTTTCCCAAGTTTCTTTTCTAAGATAGTCCTTAATGAACTGGGAGTCAGTTTACCTGTTGGGATTTGGGCACCAGCATTTTATAAATGAATGGGAACATGGGTAGAGAAAGTTGGGGTAGAGATATGCAGGTTTCCAAGGAGAATAGAAAGAAATGGCATTCTCCAACTCCAAACATGAACTGCTTATTCTCCCAAGAGTTAAAGCAGTGAAACAGAAAAGCATCTCAACCCAAGAAAATGTGCTAGTGGCTTTCAAGGCACTGTCTTCCAGAAGCAGAGCTGACCTTTTTCCACATCCCCTGAGTGGATCCATCGTTACACTATGCGGTACACAGGGTCACCAACTCTCATGCTTCCAATTTTTTCCACCAAATAATAGATCCCAAATAGTGGGGATGATTTGTATATATGCTTCTCAGATGGATCACATAGGCGGTAACTGAAAGAAGCAAAAATTTACCATCAGGCACAAAAAGGAAATCGGTGAGTGCTCTCTTTATAGGATTCACATCTTCCATGCTCAGGTTATTTATGGATAAGTAGTGAGGCTTTTCTAAAACATTAACAGAGAAGTCAAACTGCAAATAATCCTGGTTTTTCTGGAAGGATCCTGAGAGTCTAAACAGTTTTTCCCCGGATTCAATTTGAAGACAATATGGAAAAAAAAAAAAAAAAATGCATATGATAACTTAAAATTAACATGTGACTTATATGTGTTACTTAAAATAAATACTTCAGCTGCATGTATACCTTCAATTTCACAATTCATTGAACTAAATACTTATAGAATCTCAAAATAGAAATGCCCTGCACATTGCAAATTGTCTATTTAATGCATTGGAACTTTATGATGTCAATGCCCTCCAAGTATAAGCTCAATGCTGGGGTTACAAATTCAGAATGTGATACAACTGGCATGTAGATCTGAACTATTGCTGAAGTAATTATTTTTATTTTTTAAAAAAGACTGTTTGAAACCTTAAACAAAAACATAGAATCTGCAAAACACCACTTTGCATAACTTGGATGAACTTGGAGGACACTATGCTGAGTGAAATAAGTCAATCACAGAAGGACAAATATTGTATTAGTCTATAATTGTAAAAAGTCAAGGAAAGGTTTATATATAGAAGGAAATTTTTTTGTTGTTGGTTACCAAGGGTCAGAGGGGAAAGGAGGGAACACTGTTAGATAGGTAGAGACAAGTATTGATTTGGGTGAAGAGAAGGGCCAGGAACCAATGTGAGTGATCAACACGGTGGCACTGAGGAGGAGGAAGACATAGAGAGGAGCATGGGAGGTATAGAAAACAAAGATGAACCCCTTTGCCCATACAGTACTGTGTTGTCAGTGAAGGCAAACATGGCTATATGGGTGGATAGATGGGTGGACAGACTGAACTATTGGGTATGTCTATGCAGGGGGAAGTGTGCCCACAACCATGTAGAGGGTTGGCAGACAATGTTTCTACAAGTGTATTGGTATGTTCTGCAGAATTTCCAAGTATATAGTAGAACTGAGAAGGGACAATGTTGTAGTCATTTCTGGGCCACAGCCAGCTACCCAGAGGAAGAGAGTAGTTTGGACCTGTGGGCTTGGAACCATAGTTGTAGGGACATCAAGCGAATTGGCATAACATACTACACAAAAGCATTGCTCCACATCTTGGTGAGTAGTGACTGGGATCTTAGAAGCTTGCAAGCAGCCATCTAGATGCAACTATGGTCTCTCCTTGTCCAGAGCAAAGAAGAATGAAGAAAACCAAAGATGCATGGAAACAATTAGTCCTGGCGACTGGTACACCATGTGATTCCCAGCCTTTCCGACTATGAGACCAGAAGAACTAGATGGTGCCCAGCTACCACTGTCAATCACTTGGAGGGGGATCTATGTAGGAGACCCTGGACAGAGTGGGAGAACAATGTGGAACAAAGCTCAAAATCATTAAAAAAAAAAAAAAAGGGATCAGGTTTGCTGGTCTGATAGAGCCTGATGGAACCATTGAGACTATGGCCCCTAGCTACCCTTCAGGTCTGGGATTGAACCCCTACTGTGGCTTCCAGCCAAACAAAAGACAAGCATATGAGTGAACATTTACATTAGGTAGATACACTCCTTGGAGAGATCAGTTATGGAAGAATAGAAGGGCTGTGTATACACACGGAGACAACTCCAGGGGCAGGCATGTATGGGAGGAAAGGACACACGAAAGAGGTAACTATAGGGAGGAAGTAAGAGGGGAGCTGTTGTACTGTAGGAAATTGTAGTCAATGTCATGAGACAAAGTGTACGTGAGCTGCTGTATGGAAAAAAAAAATTGCTCTGTGAACTTTCACCCAAATCACAATAAAAATAAAAAAAAAAAGTTTGAATTAAAAAAATTATTAATGTCACTGAATTCTAAAAACCAAAAATCAAAATAGAATTATAAATACATAGAGTCCAAAAAATAACTCTGAAGGGCTCTCCTTAAACTACACCTGTTGGCAACAGATCAACAACAAAATGGAAGAAAGGGAACCAATAGAACACAGCCCGTAAAAATGGTAACTTATGTTTAAAAATCATCTATACTGAGAACCAAAATCTTGGCCAAAATTCTTTAAACAACAAAATAAAACAAAAACCCTGGCATAAAAAAAGCTTCTGCATAAATCACCTCTGATAACTCATTGCATAGTTCATTATACAACCATTATTATTATTATTATTATTATTATATAATATAGATTGTGTCATATTTATAATTTAATTATTCTTATATTACTTGATATTAGTTCTAATAAAGAAATCTGAGTCGTAATAAAAATAAAGTATTTGAGGTCTTAATTTGGAAATGCACATGTAAAGGTTATTAAACATTGGTATGGAGTTACTAGAATTTCAAAACATAGAAATTTGTGAAAAGTAATGGAAGGTCCATCAAGGAGAAATCAGGAAGCAACAAGGACCCACCTACATTAGCCGGCAGACACAAACCAACCAGAAGGCAGAGTGGAAGGTGTTCTCAGACAAAATGGCCGTATCCACCTAAAGTGCAGGCTCAGACACAGCACTCACCCACAGGTAGCTCTAGGGTGACAATACTCCTGAAAACACACTGAACACTTTGGTGTTTTACCTCTTCAGGGTTTCCAGTGGCTCTTTCCAGTCTATGATTCCAGTGTCGGGGTCCACAGTGGTCATAACACACCTGTTGGGTAACAACCAAGGCTGAGTCCAGTGGTTCTTTGCTAAGAACCAAAGGGCACACTGCTTCCCAGAAGTAGTGTCTGGAAAGATTCCTCACCTGGGGCAGGACATGACCTTTTTCATTTCCACGTTGCCAATTAGGAGTTCATCCCAGGTGTCCTAGGAGAAAAGAGAACATTTCCTCTTGAATTAATCATTTGACTTTATAGCAGTATTATGGAACTAGCAGAAGGAAGTAGCAAAAGAAGATGCCAAGAAGTATCACCTCACAGGACTCAGAGAGAGGTAGCCTGTTAATGAAGCCACGGTCCACCTCTCAGAAACCTGATTCTGTCAGCATGCAAGAACAGATCTTCTATACAGGACCATCTGTCATGAGGATCATAAATGAACTAACTTAATTAATTAACTATTAACTTTTGTTGTTGTTGTTGTTATGTGCTGTAGAGTTGGACCTGACTAATACCAACCCCTCTTTGGGTTTCTGAGGCAGTATCACTACAGAACTACGGAAGTAGATTGCCCAACCTTCTTTCCGAGGAGTGGCTGCACTACATCAACTAATAAATTAACCAAAACCAAACCAAACTGCCAT